GACATTTTCACTAGGGAAGCTAGATTATATTAAGGAAGTAGTTTATTATAGCGACATTTTGCTTAGCACTGCTATCTACGTAGCTCAAGAGGGTAATTCAGGAATAAGGGAATGATATGGATACATCACATTAAAAAGTTATTTGTGTTTTTGGAATTTTAAAACTCCTGCAAATTTTTATGTATTTTAGGTCAACCTGGAAACTATTGGGTTGTCCGAAAAGTCATGATGCATTTTTGCAATGAAAAACAGAGAAAAAATACTTCATGACTTTTCCGACAACCCAATAGTAGTATTCCTCTCCCCTTTGTTTTAGATCCAAGTGAAGGCAGTACATAGAAGAGCAAACTAACCAGAATGTTAGAGCTACAAAAGGACACTAGTTTGTCTAGTTCCGTGCCATCTTTAGCCAGTGAGGGGCTGGGGGGACAGGCCCAGAAAGAAGAAACCTAAGGTGTTGGGAGAAAACAGGGCGAGAACAGGAACTAACATTGTCAGGAAAGTACTATGTGCCAGGTACTTTGTTAAGTACTTTGCTTTTATTACCTTGATTCTTAAACACCTGAGGCTAAGGGAAAGATTAAAAGGCAAATTCATCTTCTTCTAAGCAATATGTAGGAGATAAAGGGGAGTGGTCAATCACTTTTTCCTGTCTAAACACACAAGGCTAAACTAGAGGAAGTGAAGAGTCAGCGTTTGAGAGTGAGGTTAATCTAAGGAAACACTCCCTAAATAATCGAAAGAGACTCATGAATAACTTCTCTTGCTAGAGACCTTCCAAAAATATAATGGTCAGAGAGGTAGGCTAAAGTCCGGGCTGGTAGGGAACAAGATGACTATTGGCTCTGGGGTTGATTTGCATTCCAGAAAATCAGATCATGACCTGAGAATATAGGATTAATCTTAGAAATAGGGAACAAAATGGGGCTCTCATCCTAAAGAGTCTTCAAAGAAATAGTGTTTATGTACTATGAATCCAGGAGCTAAACGAATTCCTCTGGTGGCCATACTTATTTATTTATTTATTTATTTATTTATTTATTTATTTATTTATTTATAATACACTTAGAAGTCATGAAACAATTTGTAATTTTGGAATGACTCGGTGCCAAGTTCAATATTGGTAGGGGCAGGTGGCAGCCTGAAAATTGACATTGAGAATAAAATAGTATTCCTTGTAGCTGTTTGATATACCATCCCAAGAGCTATCCCATGAGAGCTGCTACAGTGGGAATCAGTAATGTCATTAGCTGAGTCATGCCCCAAGTACAGGGCAACTTCTGGGGGAAAACTAGGGGAAGGTCCCACCTTTCAGAAGCTTCTGGGTCTATTGAGAGATGAGTCTCATACTTGAGTGGGAAGTGAGTGGGGAATCGGTATTTATAAGTCAGGTTATAAAATAAAATAGTAACATAGTACAGGGGAGCCAAAGCAAAGGAATAATCAGAAAAAACGGCGTGAACCAGAAAAGATTCTTTGAAGGTAGTGAAGATACGGAACATGGAACAGAAGAGAGGAAGGTGATTAGAGGGAGAAAACTTATGGAGGAAGGTTTATGTGTGTTCTGTGCAGAGGGCTGTGAATGGATTAGTCAGAGTGGTACAGCAAAGGAATATTAGGAAATGAAGTCGAGGAGCAATCTTGTTGGCCGAATAATGAATTTATATTTGATTTGGTAAACAGCAACAGCAGATCGTGATGAGATGATGAGGTTGAAGACTTTTGCAGCTGTACCAGTGAAGGAAGCAGGAGAACTTGCCTAGGATATTGTTCTGGTTCAGATGTGAAGCCCTGAGGGCCTGCACTGGAGTAAGACAAGAATGAGGAGAAAGAAAGTGGATCAGCTTGATGATGGTTTGGTTGTGAAGGGAGGGATAAAAGGTAGCCTGAAGATGATGATCCCAGGACATATTTATGCTGTTGATGGTGCTGTGAGAGCTTGGAAAGAGCCACTTTGTTTTTAAGAAGTAGAAAGTGTTTATTAACCACTTGATGGGATGTGTCTATGTTCGGTATTGCAGCGTCTAGGAGGGGGTGCTGCCCCTGGAAAATAAAGGGGCGTGTGGTGTGTGCCTGCACCGTGCCCTTTTCAGGTTGCAAAACCAGGTAAAAGAGAGTTTATTGCTGGGGTGTGCCCACAGACTTCAAGAAAGCTATCCCACTTCACATCTGGGAAAGAAAACACAGATTTTTTGCCAGTTTCTTCCCCTTTAATGCTTTGAGATGGGATATGACTAGCCTGTGGCAGCATGTGCCTGTGGATGCACAATTCTCTGGCTTGATTCTTGGAAGGCCTTTTTCTGTCCCTCCCTGGGGCTCATTTGTATCTCTGGTTCCTGCTCCCAGAGCCATAAAGTGGGAGCCCCCATTTATTAATTGGGTTGGGACTGGGGAGGGGGTCGGCAGGGGACTCTTTAGCGTGGCAGGCGGGGGTCTTCCCGAATGAGCCCATTAGCCAGCCCCAATGGCAGCTGAAACGGGGCCGCCGCCAAGTCCTCTCGGTTTCAAAAACCCTCCATCGCCTGCAGCAGATCAGAACAAGGCCTGCGGGAGCCCTTAGCTTCTGATTGCAGCTGTGAGGAAGGACAAAACAATTTATAGGAAGCCAAGTAGCTCCTGTCTTACTGTCTTCCTTTCTGACTTTGGGGAGGGGGAAGGCTGGGATGTGGAGTCCCCTCCCACCATAGCTTCTTACCAGGCACATATAGGCCTGAAGTAGGAGAGAACACGCGCGAGTGTGTGTGCATTGATAGGACATTTATGTCGTGCTCTGGATGTGTTTACACATGTCCTTGCTTTCTTATTCCATCCACACACAGTTGTATTGGATAAGCAGCCACGACTTATGTAGGGCTCTCTAGGGCAAAGCCAAGTATGTGCTCAGACTCTTAAACAATCCAGGGTGTGTGTTTGGGGGGCACACTTATCATACTCTTTCATGCCCCGTACACCTGCCTTGTCTCATATCTGCTTTATCAAGATTTAGGGTTGGAGTTAGATCACCTTCTTAATGTCTTTTCTTCCTAATAGAAGGAGTTGGGCACTAAAAGGAAGGCCTCCTACTGGGACGCACTTGTTTGTTCCCTCAGCCAGCAGGAGAAAGGCAGGCATCTACCGGGAGCTTCTTCCTGCATTGGCACAGAGAGAAGGTGTGGAGGGCAGGAATGTCTCACTTCCTGGTGGAAACACACCTCTAGAATCACAGATGGCCAGAGCTAGAAAGCGACCCTAGAGATCACCTAGTTCAACTTCTCAAGACAGGAAACTGAGGCTTGGAAGTGCCTTGCCCACAGTCTCATAGTGTGGCAGTTAGTGGCAGCCAGCCAAGATTAGAATCCATGGGGCCATAATCTTAACCTACACGAGCCCCCAGACTCCTGAGGAGCCCTAAGCTTCCTTAGCAAAGGAAGGTAGGGCTGTAAGATTTTGAGTGGGGAGGGACAGATTGAGAAGGAAAGGTAGATATGAACAACATTAGTAGAAGAACTGGGAAGCAATACATATTTTTACTGCAAATACTAACTTTTCAATGACATACAAATTGTACAGGTATAATCTTCACGTAGAGTCAAAAGTTCTAATTTATTGGGAAGCAAGTAGCAGCCATGGCCAACAATCCTGATGCCCTCAGAGTTACCCCCAAAGTTCAAGGGGCACTTTGTCACCATCTCTGGGGGTTGCTCAGCCAGAAAAGAGTCTGAGAGGCAATGTGAGGAATTTACCCTAAATCTCAACTTCGGCTTCTTTGCGTTACAATACAGCTATATTAAAAGGCAAAATCAGAAGGAAGGGAGAAACAAAATACATCTCACCTGCTGGAAAGCGAAGGGGAGTCTGAAGAAATGAGAACGGATTATAGAGCTCTGAGTAAAATGTGATCTTTGAGGTTACAGGGAAATTAGGGGTGAAGGAGCTCTACCCCCTCCCTCTCCCCTTTGTTTTTTTGTTTTCATTGTTTTAGTTTTGAGTTGTTGGCTTTGTCCTTTGATGAGGCGGAAGGTGGGGTGGTGCTCCATGGTGACCTAAGCCCTAAATAGTGTGCCCAATGGGCTGAGTGGCACGGCAGGTTCTGAAGTCATCTTACTCAGGTGTTAGACTCCCTTCCAGGTTTTGGACCTCCCCCAGGTGTATCTACCTTGGAAGTCCCTTCCAATGCTTATGCATATGAGCCTGAGAGCCACTAATGAGCTGAGAGGGGAAGCCTGAAGAGTCCCTACACTGAAAGCAGGATTTTGGAGAGAAAAAGGCACCAATAGGCCGCTTAGAGATAGAGTTACCGATCTAGGTCAGAGATGGGCAGGGGGTCTGCAAAATGAACACTGCTGACGACAAAGAAATAGATCCTAGTACATATCCTTTATGTTTTCTCCATCACACCCCAATTGATAGTATAGGGGGAATGTGAAGTTGGTCCCCATGCAAATGCATCCCTACATAGAGAATGTATGACAGACCTGCTTGCTCAAATTCCGTCAATTCTGCTCTCCTGCAAACCTTTTTTTTGTTTCACAGGAGGACTTTTTTTTTTTTTTTTTGCCTCCAAGCCCTTCTTTAAGAAGCTGTTTTGGACAAAAGAGCCTCGAATACCAGCTGATAGTCTGATCTAAAACTGAATGACCACCTCCAGTCACCTTGCATTACCTTTGCTTTAACCTTGAACTTTCACTGCCCTTTATAATTCTGGGTTGCACAGCTTCTATTTCTATTGAATTCTTAATCTCTTAAGTATGGTTTTTATGGTTTTTACTTTATCAGACTGGGGGCTAGTTCCTTGGAGGTAGGACTCTTAGAACAGTTATCACTCTCTCTGGAAGCATATTTAAGGTTCATGAATCCTTCTGGGCTTCATGAATTCAGGTTGGAGAGAATTGGAAGAATGGCGACCATCACTATCACTGTTACCCACCAAGGCCATGCCCCTGGGTGAAAGACTAAAGACCCTCTTTGGTGTCTAGTCCCTCATCTCATGTCTAATGTAACCTGTCATTTTCCTTTTACAGATGGCAGCAGCAGAAGAAAGGATGGCCCCTGAGGAATTTGATGATGTCCATCAGTCACCTGGTATCTGGAGCCCTGAGAAATTTCAGTGTCTTTCACAGACTCAAGCCAGGTAGGGACCTAAGGTCAATCAGAGGCCACAGGACTGCTTTTATAATGGACACACACACACACACACACACACACACACACACACACACACACACACCTGTCTCAGGGAAGTTTCTTATTCCCAAAGATCTCCAGAGGAGTTTCCTTAGCTTTTTATTTGACCCTATTATGGTGTCCTACCTTCTTATTAACACTGCCTTCTGGCTAGAGTTGGTAGCCCCCTTTACTGGCACGGACAGTCATTTCATTCCTGTTCTCTCCTCTTGGCCAGCTGTGCTATGGTGGGCTGCTGAGGTCAGTTACTCTCAGCCTCTCCCCAAACACCTGCCTCACTTACCCACCACCTCAAACACACACAGAGCCCTGCCTTCTTCTTTCCCAAGAAGCTATTTTCTCTCCCTTTATTCTAAGTCAGAATAGGGTAGTGTGGTCTCTTCTCGCTCTCTCTCACCAGCTTCTATACCTTCTTTCCAGGTTTGATGAGCGATCCACCTGTCCAAATACTGTGTGAGGAGACACCAGAAGTAGAGGCCTACAGGGCTGCTGCTCTCCATCCTCAATGCCCAGACAAAGCAGGTCGCCAGCCTCCAGTGCCCACCCACCCTTCTTGCTACCAGGTAGGTACTCTCCTACCCACCAACCCCAAGCAGCGTCATTTTTCCCTCTGGGAATATTTCTGTCTGTTGTGAAAGATCTTCAACAAGAGAAAGGCCTTAGTGACTTCCAGCCCTAATCTTTAGCGAGACCTTCCTGCTGTTAAATCTCTATCCCCTTTTCTGTAGTTCAGAGCCACTTCCCCCATTTAGTGGGTGTAGGAAGAAGTGACCAGTAAACAGATGGTATATGACTCTGAAGGGGAAAGGTCTGATGACAGGCAGCCCTTCGCTTGGGCTGGAAGTCTGAGGCCCCATATGTGCATTCTGCCCAGGGCCTGGCATCCTCGGACAGTACCTGAATCTTGGGAGGGAAAGGTGTTTTATCTGGTGTCAATTCCTGAGGACAAGGAGCTCAGAATCTGGTCTGTCCCTGTTCGTCCCCAGAACCCACCACTAGGTGATACTCTGTCTTGTGCTCAGGTGTCATCTCGTGTGTGGCGCCTGTAGAGAGTTGGCAGAGGTGCCAGAGCCTCTCTCACCATTGGAGGTGGCCTCAGCTTACCCTGTTGACCTCAGGCCTCCTCTCTCAGCAGTGCCTCTTCTCACCCCTGCAATCCAGACAGCACAAGCAGCAGGTTTAAATAAGTGCCAGCTCTAGTTAAGGTGCTCCCTCCCCTGACAGGCACATACCTTGAGCTGGGGTTAGGATGGGATGGAGGGAGGGATAGGGCAGGTGTTAGAAAGCAGGAAATGTTCCTGGAAGCGGTGGAGCAGTAAGTATGCGTGGAGTACCTTGATGGCACAGAGAGCACCAACATTTATAACCCCACCCACCTGTCTGTCAACCTGGCTGGCTGATCCCTCAAAGCTGCTGGGCCACTTCGGCAGCTGCAGTCTTGGTTTCTGCCACACGAGGGTGCTGCTGACCAATTAAATCTCCTGCCCCTTAGCCGACAGAGTTTGGGCAATGGGGGCACACTTTCCCCAAGACAGAGGGCAGAAAGATCCCAAGAGAGCCTGAGACTGGTGGCTGAGAGGCCAAAAAAATAATTAGTACCACTTGTTTTTCCTTAAAAATGGCCTGAGACCCTGAACACTGCCCGAGTGGCCTGATATCTCAGCATGTTCCCAGCTGAACTTGGAAAGCCCCCTAGCTCTAGTCACCCAACACCTCGCCCAGGTGCTTCTCTCCCTCAGGGTGTAGCAGCCTCCTCCTGTCCACCCCACTGTCCCCCTGCTGTAAAATTGTGACAGTCACTTTTTAGTCTAAAGAGTAGGGATACCTGTGGTTTTTGGAGAAAAAAAAATCTCTTGCAATTGTTTTAAGAGAAGTATCTTTGTTAGTGAGACAGTGTTGGGGAGAGGACTGAGAAGACAAAGAGTGGGAAAGTTCAGCTTTCTATCCCCCCCAGCTCCATCACCTCCCCCAGGACAAACCTGCAGAGCTCAAGATGGTTTAGTGGATGTTTGCAGCCTAAGTGGCTGGAGCACACCCCAGAACACCTCAGGGCTCTGAGCCAAAAAAGGTGTCAGAAAGCTGGATGGGGAAGGGGGCTGTTTTGGCCCATGAGCCTTATACTGACCCCATGCCCTGTGATGGCTCCGCCAGGGATTCAAGTGGCAATGGGGCCCTTACAGGGATGAGGTACCACACAATTGATCCTCAGTCCCTATGAAGCCCTTCCAGGCTGAACAGGCTAAGGGATGACAGAGGTTCTCCTCCTCCCTCCTACCCCCGTGCCCGAGGGCCCCTCCCCAGGAGGACAGCTTGATTAAACAGTCGGTGCTGCTGGAATTACTGCACAGCTGGCGCTACCCCCAGCACCCCGAGCAGAGCAGCAGCGCAGATTAAAATCTCCAATTAGCGTTAAAGTGAAGTGAGGAGGTACTGAGGCTGCCAAGGAGGCCAGGCGGGGGCTCTGGGTCGGCAAACCACCCCCCACTCCTGCCTGGATTCTGAGTGCCACCCTTAGTCACCCCATTCCTAGCTCCTCTCCCAACAGCTCTCAGCAACCATTAGTTTTGCATTGCTTAGGGTCACGGGGCTTGACGAGGAGCAGAAGGGGGGGCAGATGTCTTACCTGACAAAATGTTGGGGACATCGTAAGTGTGGAGGAGAATGAGAGTTATCAGTGCTCACCAAGAGAAATGCCCTACTCACAGCCTGCCTGGCAACCAGGCCGAGGTGACTTCACACGACTGCTGTTTCTTTTCGCCTAGAGAAAGGGCAAACAGAGCAGGTCCTTCCAGACCTTCTTGCCTATAAGGTGCCGGGGGAATGTGGCGCCCACACAAACATCCATCCTTGTATATTTTATCCTATCTGACCCACCTGCTCCCACCCAAATTATGGCTCCTTCCATCCTCCCTCCCTTAGTTCTTGTCTCAGCTTTCCTGTGGGCAGAGGTAGGCACAGTCTGGCTTGGGAGCATTGCCATGCCCTGCCACCTGGGTCCCAGCCGGCTCTTCTTTATCTTCTTTACAGAAGAGCAAGAATATGCCAAGGATGGAGGCTCCAGACTCTTCTAACCCCTGAACATCACACCCCACCACCAAAGGGCCCTGTACCATTTATACTTCTGCCTTTCACCCACCAAGTCCGGAAGGAGGACAGCACAGCTAGCTATGCCCTTTGACTTCCGGCTGCCCCTTTAAGGGAAATGGAGGTGGGTATCCAGCTGACTGAACCTGCTCACACCTCCAGAAATTAGACACCAGGGCACAGTGCCACCCTCCCAGGCTGGCACATGCTACCCTGGCAGAGGTTCAAATAGCACCCCCCCACACCGCCATACCCCCACCGCTATGTCTTCCTCTTCTCTCTCCCTCTTTCTTCCTCTCTTTTTTTTTTCTCAGCTCAAAGCACAGCTGAGCCTTAAAGGGGAGGGGGGATCAAGCTGGGGCAGGGGGGTGGAGAGCTCCAATAGCACGTTTTCACCTGCCATTTAATTGGATGTATTTTTAATTAATGGGACCTCAGGGACCAACATGAGACAATCTGATCTCTGAATAGGGACAGGGGAGGGATTGGGTAAGGGAGGAGGATTGGGCCACTGGGTGCGGTTACCGGGAACTCAGGCCCATCAATCACTGGCCACTTTGCGTTCTGGCATGGAGAATAGTGAGGTGGAGGAGGGGGGGAGGTACTGAGGAGAGGTGCCAGGATTTCCCCCCAACTGCCAGGACCTAAAAAAGGATGGAACTGCACCAGTTGACTCAGGTCTGGGGACCAAAATTGCAGCCAGGATATTAGGTAAGGCTGTTTTCTTGCTCTTAGGGTTTTGTCCAGTTGGGCTTGTCCCACTGAGTGCTGTAAAATTGTGAAAGAAAGGTAAGGAAGAGCTTTGAAGAGAGAGGACAAGAGCTAGGGACCATAGAGCCAGAGACTGTGGTAAGAGGGAGAAGGGCAGGGTTCAGAGATATTCCTGTACATTTAGACGTAAAATAAGTGCCATGGAGATTACATGCAGAACAGCATGCAAATGAGGCCTGGTGCCTTTGGGGTATGACTCAGAACCATAGTGTTACAAGGAAGAGAAGTTGGAGCTCATCTTGCCAAACCTTCATTTTACAGATGTAGAAATGGAGACCCAGAGAGGGGAAATCGGTTGAATCCTGTCCTGGTGTTGCTTGTGTTCCAGGATTTGGAGAGTTCCTGGGAACGAACACAGAGAGAGGTAGGTAGGTAGGGTGTGGAGAAGGAAGTCAAGGGAAGAGGGTTGGCAGGGTATTCTCTATTGCCTGGACTCTCGTGTCTCCGGCCCCTGAGTCTTAGAAGCAACTCAGAGGAGTCAGGCAGGTGCATTACTGGGGGGATATTTCCCTCATACACCCTCTTCCAGGGGTCATCTCATCCATTCCCTTACTTCTAAGCAGACAGATCCCTCACTGCCCCCCCCCGTAGGATTTTACCATATTCTGTGACATCCACAGGGAAGAAAATGCACCAACTACCCCAGTTCCTTAACCTAGAAATAAATCCCCCAATGGTAAATATTGAGCTTTTTTTATATATATATATATTATCACAAGTTTTCCTGTTGCGATATAAGCTGCTAGAGAAAATTAAGCTGAAAAATGTAGCGAGGAGTGGTCTTATATTTCTTATCCACGTCTAAGCTGAGCACAGAGACAGAAATAAAACTGAAGGCTCTGAAAGCTGAGTCAGAAGTGCCCCTGTATTCGTGTGGTGCCATGGCCGCAGAGCTCTTAGGCCCCATCTGGCTGTGCGCGCATTGGAGAGAAGGGCACGTTTCCAGCTGTCCCCATCCCCACACCCCTGCTTCCTTCACTGTTCAGACACTAGGGTTAAGGAGAAAAGGGACTTTCCCACCAGGTCGCCAAAGGTGCCATTCCCTGGCACCTTCTTCCTTCCTCTGAAAATGTAACATTCTTTGTTCTGTGCTTCATGAAACTAAGTTGGGGTCAGAGCAAGGATGGGTACACAGCTTCCCCACTCCCAGAATTGTCTTCTCCTCTATCTCAGTACCCTGCTTTATATCCCCAAAGGCCCTAGGGAAGAGCAGGATGTGCTTTTCTAAGTGACCCCAGCCTCACCCGCCCTGTCCTTAGACTCTCAGGGTCACCTCCTTGGCTGTCTGATTGTCTGCCTTCTCTACTGCCAACAAGATGAGAAGGGCCCCCTTGCATCCTCCAGAACAGTCTGGAAAGAGTCCATCTAGCTCCCCCACTGCTTCTGAGGGCCTGCAGGGTGGGGGTAGGGGAGGAGAACTGTGCCAGGGAGTTGAACTTCCCTGTGCCAAGGAAGATTCTCTTGTCAGGGGCGATGAGGGAGAAGCCTGGAAGTGGGATGGAGACAGGAAGGGACAATTTGGGGGCTGAGAGGCCTGTATCCCACCTGTGGGGCTGGCTGCCTAACAGGGCAGGCCGTTCGTATTGAATATTTTCCGGGGGGTTTATTAGATGGCTTCTGTTTACAGAGCTGCTGTTTCTCCTCTGAGACACAGAGCAGTAGAGAAGAGCATGCAGCAAAGAAGCGGGGGAGACGATGGCAGGCTTTTCCAGGCCCTTTCTCACTCCTTTCTACCCCTACTCCAACACTAGAGGCAAAATGGAGGGACTAAAAAGGCCCTGAAAGCATTCCATCTAGATTGTGGATGTTTCTCTAAGGAATATGGCCTCCCTTCCCCCAAGTCCCACCAGCCCTGCCTTATATTCCCAAGGTTGGCCAAGGATACCAGATCTACAGCCCTGGAGTCAGAGCCTGGAGTCTGCTCTGGGGTCCAGAAGAAACCACTAGCCTTTGCAGGGAAGGAGGGAGGGATAGACTGGAAGTAAGTGGAATGCAGAGGTAGCAGTACCCAGAATCCCTTGCACTCTGGAGAAAAGGGAATCACTGAGGAGCTCAGTATTGGCCCAGGGTGTAGCTTTTACTCTGGTAGGACCCCTTTCCTCCTTCTCCCTCAGTGCGTCCCACTGGGTGGAGAGAGATCTGAATATCGGAACCTCCCACTTTGACACCTTGAAGTCTGTCGTGCAAAGCCCCTCTCTAGCTCCTAAAGCCATGGAGGTGGGGAAAGAGCATCTCAGAAGTGGCAGTGTCATGATGTCCTGAGCACCCAGGGAGACGGGCCAAGGAGAAGAAACAATAACAAGAGAGAGAGCCAGGAGGAGATGCCTGCTCCTGAAACAGCCTCCTTACCCCATCCTCTCCTGCGCCCCCCTCACATGCAGACTAGGCTGTGTGCCCAAGTGTGCCAGCTCTTCTGGCTGGCGATCCTGCTCTGCCATGCAGGCAGCCGGCTCTCTGCTCCAGCATAGAGCACATGCTGGGGTCTCTTGCACTCCTTTGCTCACTCAACTCAATGTGTCTGTATTGCAGATTCCTAGAGATAAAGGAGGGGGCTCTAGCCCTGCGAGTAGGAAGATGGTGGGCTCTGGAGCCCTTTGGGTGCATATCTGCCTAGCAGGAGGAGGGGGGTAGGGAGAAGGCTGCTGGCAGCTCAGCTGAGCTCAAGGTTCTGGTGACTCATAGCAATGGGGGCGGCTTATGAAAACAACAGAGGAGAAGGGGGCCCAGTTGCCTGTTTTTTCTCCACTCTGAGCTCTGTGGATGAAGGTCTCTCATCTGGATGGTGGGGCAAGGAGGGGCCCTTGCTATGAAAGGAGAGGGAAATGGGAAAGAAAGCAGGGGAGGCTGAGCATCCCCACTGAGAGGCTTCTCAGCGAGGAAAGGCAAGGGGAGGCCAGTTATCCTTGCCCTTGGCTGCACAGAAGGTACCGGGCATCCACACATGCTGGGGCAGCTCGGAGCTCCTGGGCACCTTCCAGAAGAGGGACTTCTCCCTGCCCTCACCTGCCTGTCCAGAGCTCTGATACCCAGCTGATACCACATGACTTAGGAATTAAAAAAAATTTTTTTTTAAAGCACTGTATTATAAGACCAGAGCCTGGAAGGATAACCACTTGGTCCTGTACTCTCTTCCCTGGAAACAGGCATCATAGATCTTCAAAAGTGCCTGTTCCCTCTTCCCTTACAGGCCAGGTTGGCAACGTGCATCTTCTCCATCCTTTCTGAATCAGGGGGATGGATAGGATAGTTTGTTTGAGATTACACCAGCAGAAAGGGGCCAGAAGGTGGGCCAGGAGAGCCACCCATGCCTCTGACCACAGTCCCAGAGGCCTCCTTGTTTCAGCAAAGGAAACAGGGATGTTGGGTACAAGTGTGCCCAGAAACATAATAATAAATACCCTCCCTCTAGACTCAGAGGAGGATGGTCTCAGAGGAGGGGAGCTCTCTGACAGCCTGAGTGTTCATTTGCCTATTTCTATGCCTTTCTTTGCTGTGGCTCTGCTCTTCAGCTGGGGTGAGGGGCCTTCTGCTGGGGTGCTCCTACAGATCCAGAGAGTTTCGGTGGGAGAAAGCGGCAGACCAGCCGCTCTTCACGTAGGAACATGGGACCAGCTCCACTCCCCCAGCACTCCCTAACAGCCTCAGGAGCGCAGGGGCCCCTCTGGGATGCCCATAATAGAGCCCAGCCTGAACTGAACCAACAGTCACCTGGCTCTAGTGCAAAAGTGGTGCTGCGAGGGGAGCTGGGTGCTCCAGGTGGGGTGAGACAGGGTGAATGAGTGCGTGAGTGAGTGAGTAAGAGAGAGAGAAGAATCCCCCCTCAACACCACATGCTTCTTCTCAAACCTTCCCTCGGCCCCCCTTTTCTTCCACCTGATCTATCCAGCTCCACTCCTGGCTGCCTCCTTCATCCCCTGTCATCTGAGAAGACACGGTAAGCGCTTGTCTGTTCCCTATACTTTTCTCTCTCTTGCTCCCCTCCTCTCCTCCCAGCTCCCAGCCGAGAGTTAGCCCATTTGAACTCTTTCAACCAGTGAATGCCACCAAGATCTGAACCCAGAATCCCCAGCCTCTGCCACCCCCCTGACTCAGACTGACTCATCAGTCCTCGTCCTCCCCACAAGTGTAGCCAGGCCAAGACTGGTATGTGCACCGGCACCGAAGGCCCTGACCTAAAGCAGAGGGCAGCCCTAGGGGTGCAGTGCAGCCCGGCCCAAAATGCGTATATGCCTGTGCATTGGGCACACTGGTTTATTAGTGTTATTTCAGCATTGTGATGCAGAGAGAGTAAGTGTAACAGCTGCTCCTTGCTTGCAGTGTTTATTGTTACCTAGAGACAACCTCCTGGCTTTTTCCCAGCTCCCCCTCCCCCCCCAACCCAGCCCCCTCCCTGCCAACAGTCCTACTCTCCCCACACTGATGGGAAATTTATAGCTTGCCCATACCATGCCTTTAACCCTCTCCTATCCATAGGTTAGGTGGTGAGGGAATCCAGAGTGAGCCGGGCCTGTTTGGGCCCCAGCAAGGTAGAACAGTGTGTGGAGGAGGGAAGGGAGAGGGAGGGAGGGACAAGACTTCCCCTCCCCAATCTACATGTCCAGCTCCGGCTCCAGTTGCCTTCCTGGCTCTTAGGTTGAGAGAAAGGGCTTTGGACCTAACCTTGGGATCCCAGCATCCTCCTCCCAAGATTATTCACTTCCCCACGCATCTCTAAGGCTCCCACTTGGGCTGCCTGGTCCTGAGCAAGTCCAGTGAGGTAGTATTGAAACAGGAGGAGTAAATACCGAGTGACAGGACCCCAGTCCCCTCCTTTCTATAGAGATGTCATATCAAGACAAACGAGGCTCTGGCATGAGGGACGCTGGCCAGACCTCCACAGCTAGGTAGATGTCAAACATGAAGCTGGCTGCTGAGCCCAGTGGGAAGAATTGCCCACCTTCACTTCGCCCTGAGCCTGGCACTCAGGAAGGTCCCGAGAGAGTCCCAGGCCATCCTCCAGGCTGGTCTCCTTGGTCTGGTTAGGCTGTGCCTTTCTGCTTTTCTTCCTGGTCCGCTTTCTCCTGCTGCTCTTTTGGTTTGATACTTTGGGGCAGATCCAAGAGGCCAAAAGGCCTGAAGCATCGTCGTCACGGCCTCAGCAGAACTGGGGAAGGAGAAGCCCCTTCATCCCCATCCCTTCCTGACCTAGGACCTTTCCTGGAGGGGCTCCGTCCCCAATAGAAACGAGATGGGAAACGGGATCAGATTTTAGCAGAAAGGATAGAGGTTAGACATATGGAAAAACTTCCACATGGGATGTAAGACTTCAGAATGGGCCTACTGCTCTTCTGAGCATTTTTCTTCTACCTGGGATGGATTTAAGTCAGTGCCTACCCAAGGGGCACTGGAATAACAGGGTTACTTTTCTGGGGCTCCTTCAGATGTGGGCCTCAGAGCAGTTTTCACACAGTGCACCCCTCCTTAGCCCTTCTAAATACAACATGTGTTGTGGTTAGATCACAAGTGTTGGAGGCAGACAGCCTTGAGTTCCAGTGCCGGCACTGCCATTTATCAGCTGTGCTACCTTGGTAAGCCACTTTCCTCTTTGAGCCCTGGTTTCCTTTTTGAAATGCAAATGAACAACCTCTTAGAGTTGTGGAGAGAATTTAGTGAAATAATGTGTATAAAGCACCTAGGACAGTGCCTGATACTCAGTAGGTATTCCGTCAACCGTGGTTGATACAATAGTCTATTACTTTTATGGTGTCAGCAGGGCTGATGTTGCTTCAAAGACTCCATGAGTCCACTGAAATTATAGGCCAAATATGTGTATATGCTGGGGAAAAGGTCCAGTCCATAATTTTCCTCATGGTGTGGAGCTGGCGGTGGCGGTCTCCTGGAAAGGAAATAAGCCCAATCCCTTGAGTCAGACTCCCCCCATTCCCATGCCTCTCAAGCCAGGAGCACCTTGGGCAGTGTTCTGCCTGGAAGTCCAGCTTCATCTAGGGTGGAGCTTGGAGAGACAGCCAGTAGGATAGCAATACCTGGCATTTACCAGGCACCTTACTGTTTAAATCCGTTAGCTCTTTTGATACCCAGAACATCCCAGTAAAGTGAAGAGAATTATCATTTCCTGAGTGCCTACTATGTGCCAGGCATTGTGCTGGGTGTATCTTATTTTAAGTACATTTAAAGCCTATAGACTTTCGTCACCTACAATAGCTATGCCATGATTTATAAGGCTCATCCCCTATTTTTAATCCTTTAGATATTTTTACTGTTCTAAACAATACCGCAACAAACATTCTAACACATAAAAACTTCATGCATTTTTATAGTGAATTCCAAGAAGTGAAATTATTTGGGTGAACAGATACAAATATCGCCCCCTCCCCATAGTTATGATCATTTTATTGATGTACCCTAATGAGAATAATATTTTTTAATCTTCCCCTTTGGAATTCTGCAATGGAAACACAAGGGCAGCCCCTTCTCTGTCCTATACCCAGCAGAGACATTAATAATCTATCACCGCTTTTTTTTTTTAATTGAGGTCATTGTAGATTCACATGCAGGTGTAAGAAATAATAGAAATCCCTTGTACATTTTGCCTCTTTTCACCCAATAGTAACATTTTGCCAAACTACTGTGTGATATCACAACCAGAATATTGACATTGATACAATCCACCAGTCTGATTCAGATTTCCCCAGTTTTACTTGTTTATGTGTGTGTGTGGTTAAATTCTAGGCAATTTTATTACCTGTATAAATGTGTGTATCTACCACTACAGTCAAGATACTGAAAAGCTCCAGCACCCCAAGGATTCCTCAGGTTGCCCTTTATAATCATGCCCATCTCACCCCGTCCTTAACCCTTGGCAACCACTCATCTATCCTCCACTTCTAAAATTTTCTCGTTTCAAAAATGGAGTCATACGCTATGCAACTTTTTAGGATTAGCTTTTTTTGTCACTCCCCATAATTCCCTGGAGATCCATCCAAGTTTTTGTATGTATCAATAGCTTGGTCCTTTTATTTATTCCATGGGATGGGTTGTACCACAATTTGTTTAGCCATTCACCTGTTAAAGGACACTTTGTACTCAGTAGGAATTAATGAAGGAGCTCATTTTACTTGGTGCACTGAGTGTTTTATAATCATAATTATTAAGCTTCTTAAACCTTAAGTCTGTTATTTCATAGATGAGGAAAATTGAGGCTCCCAGTAAATGATTTCCCCATGATCACATGCTATTAAATGGCAAAGAAGAGGCTGGAACCCAAGACACTAGGGCTCTTTCACTACACCAGGCTTTCTCAGATCTTGATTAAGTTTGCTGGGGAAGGAATGTGTTGGAAGAGAGATCCTGGAGCAACCTGGGTCAGTTCAGGTCCTCGCTGCTAACGTGGCTCATAGGTTAGAAGAGTAGCAGTGTCATGGAGCAGGGGCAGCATGGCATGTGCCCTTGAAATGGTTTCCCCTTTGCCAGGGAAGAACAAGACTGAAGTGGATGGAGCCCACCAGCAACCTACCCATAGACCTGGGACCTGGAAAAGGAGGAACCAGCCTTTGGTTGTCTTTCAGAGGATGAGTGGGCAAGGTCCTCCTTGGAAACGTGAAAGTTGAATGTATCTCTGACAAGGTCTAAGGAAATTGAGGCCCATGACAACGAGTGAGCTCTCTATTCTGGATGGGTAAGGGAGATACAGCACCTTTATTTTTTTTGGTGGTGATGAGGGGAACAACAGTTCATTTACACACATACACCTTGAGCAGGTTCAGTGTTTGGAACATGGTACAGGGGGCAAGCAGAGTGGAAGCAAAATTGCCAGTCCAGCATTTAGTCCCGACTTCACCACTGCTCTTTGCCTCCAACTAAGAAGGAGCTGGAGAAATTATTTGGTCTGTCCCTCAGCCTCTGGGCACTGGTTGACAGGTGGAAACCTAGAGTTGGCCCAGACATGATGGATAGAGATGCCAACTTGCAGGAGAGAAGGTTTGGCTCCTCTCCTGGGAGCTGTGTCTGGCCAAAGGCTGCCTCCTCCCGCGGGAACCGGCTCTTTTATAGTTGATGTTACCATTGCTCCCTTGGCCTCATCCAATGGCTGTGGACTCATAACAGTTTCCCCTATCTACCTATGGCTGCAGAGCCAGGCTGACTGTACATATCACCCTTCTCCATCTCCCTTGGCCCATCAAAAATGGTAAATCATCTTCTCCCAGTGGCACCCATCATCCTTACCCAGTAATTCCAGCCATGGGGGATAAACACTGAGGCCTTCAGGATTTATAGGAACTATAAATTGTTGAAACAACCAGAGATATCCGTTCTGTATCTCTGTCTTTTGGTTGGAAGTTATTAGACACAAGGGAGACCACTCTTTGCTACCTCTTATCCCCACTGACATTTCCTGACCGTTAGAGGTCCTGAATGTGTCTAGGAGACAGCTATATTCTCTTGGAGCCAAGATGGCTCCTAACCAGGAAATCTCAGGACCCCTGCTTACTCCCTTTCCTTGGCTACCTCTCTACTCCAGTTCCCCTCCTCTCCTGCCACCACTACCTTTCCATTCCTCTTTTCTCTCTCTCCCTCTCTCTTTCTCTCTCTCTCTCCCTCTCCTCCTCTCTCTCTCTCTCTCAGCAAGTTTTTTATGTGATTACAGGCACTGCATGGTAATTAGTGCTAAACTCATTTGCACAACTACAGTTAATTGGCTACAACAATTAATTAATGTGTTGGAAATTTGGCACTGGAAAAAAAAAGTTTGTCATCAAAAAAAGGGCAAAAAATTGTAGCGTGAGGTACCCCTAAAAATCGAGGGCAGGCTTCAAAAGCCCAGCTGGGCCTCAAACTCCAGGCCAGCCTCAGATGCCTTCCCACTCTCAACTTCAACACATTTTCCTCCTTCCTCTTTCATTTTTTTCCTCTTTCTTTTTTTCCCCTCTATTTCTCTTCTCTCTCTCTCTCTTTTTTTTTTTTTTTTTTTAACTTAAGCAAACTCATTTCCCTGATAAAATATAGCATGACTAATGGCTAGAGCATGTAAAAATCATTGGGAAAATGTCCTTGGAAGACGAATGCATTTTCAGCAGAATAATTAACTTAATTAACAAATTCACATGCATATTCATCAGGCTATTAATGTCTTCTCGGCTCAGCTTGATGAACATTGCGGTAATAACCATCTCATTTACATACTGCATTCTACTGCGATCCAAAACAGACAACATACAGGCATATACACACACACAACACACAACACACATACACACATACTTGCACAAATACATGCCTGGGCCTCTTTAACTTCTAGGTTGGCTGGGGTGGGGGTGGGGGTCAAGGGATGGGTGGGAACCCTGACTGGGTGGTGTGATCTTTAGAGGGCCATGAGTGAGGTGGGGTAGGGATGCCCACATGTGGATGTCTGAGAGAACTTTAATTCATTCATAATCTCTCTCTCTCTCCCTCTCTCTCTCTCTCTCTCTCTCTCTCTCTC